AGTCATTTATCAGACCTGTCAAATGCGGAGCAGCGACTGCCCTTCCATCAGGTACAGAATCAGAAGAGACATTAAACTGCATCATTTCTGTGCATGATGTATTGTCTATAAACTGTGCTTTATGAACGACCCAGGGGTAAATCTACAATGTATCACTCAGCTGACAAGTTTGTACCAGCACTGCAATCATTTTGCTGCAATGTACAAATTAAAACAGTGCCAAGAGACATGTGTTATTTTCATTACCTTGGACATTTGTCTTTGGCTGACAATGACCTTGAGCAAGTGTACTGCAAGAAAAACAAGTCGCAAAATGTTGTGAACTCTGTTTAGCAGATGCTGTCATAACCTAATCAACAACCCTGCAGCAGAACGCTCCATGCCTTTTTGTCTTTTATTGCTAATGTATTAAATATCTCATGCCTTTAACTGATTGGTCTACAACACGTGAGAGGCCCCTAGCAGCACGAACACACACACGGCACTTTCTTTCTGATTGGTGGCTCATTAAGGAGAAAGTGCATGGAACAGACATAAGATGAAACTAACCATCACAATTACACGCACACCTACAGAGAAGGAAATTGATTTCTTCTGAACACAGGGAGATCAAAAGGCTTATTATAATTGGTTTGTAAATGTGGTTGAGCTTACCCACCCACTCTCTCAAACACATCCTCCACACATCTGTATTTGAAGCAAATGTGATACAGGTAGGTGCTGTTGGTTGTGTAGGTGTTTACAGCAGAGATGTACAGTGAATGGCATCACAAAGTGACTTCTTGGAATGGGGGGGGTCTCTACAAGAAAAGGAAATGAGGTCGTCGTACTACAACAGACCACAGAAACACAGCAAGGGTGTAGAGGCTGGAGAATTGGGATATGAAAATGATCCTCACATTATGAGGATTAATAATCATATATGCTCCTGGCCCTTTTCTCTCCCGAATCAAATTAATCACCAGCGTTCCCCCTAGCCCAGCCTTTCCCCTCTGCTCTCTCTTCTTTCTTTCTTTCACCTACCTCCTCCTCCTCCTCCTCCTCCCCCTCCTCTCTCTCCTTCTTTTGCTAATTGGGCTATCTGAGGTGCCGACTTCAAAAGGCATCTGCTATCAAACACAGTCTGAAAAAGTGAGAGCAGTTCAGGGTATCTATACCCATTTTAGATGAACAGTGTATGAATTCAAGGCTTGTCACTGTCCTGCACTTTTCAAAAAATGGATAACCACATATGAACGACCTGTGTTTGGATTCCTGTTATCTGTCATTACCATTAGAGAGAAGAAAACAAATACTAAAGAGTAGAAAACAGACACAGGCACTTCAAAGCGAGGGATTGAGAATAGGGCTGAACGATTAATCGATTTTAAATCGAAATCGCGATTTGAAATGATGTGATTATGAAATCGCAAAGCCTGCGATTGTTTTCTTCTTCTTGTGTTTCAGTCATCCACACCAATCAGAAGTGCTGTGCTCCACATGTACCAGCCATTGTTAACCAATCAGAAGTGGCCCATGATAGAAGGTGACAGATTGATCCAATCACCTGCCAAGTGCTTCTGAAAGTGCCTGCCCTTTCCAAATGGCTTCCAATGGAGCTTTAGATGGTTTGGTGCTCCATCACATGTTTTACATCTATCACAGGGTGAATCTTAAACTGAAGCTTGACTTTAAAGCAACCCAACGGAAGTTTCATGTAAGTTTAGTTTTTTCACTCGTAGCTCGGGCTGCGGGGGTGCTAGAGACGGGAGTACGTTGATACGACCTTCCTAGCCGGAGATATGGCCGCATTTTACAATAAACTTCCGTTGGGTCGCTTAAAAACAAATATCGCAATTCGAATCGCAATCGCAATATTTGTCAGAAAAATCGCAATTAGATTTGTTCCCAAAATCGTGCAGCCCTAATTGAGAATCAGTAGCTTAAGGGAGAAAGTGGGGATAAGCCTCCCGTCTGAAACCGAACGCATTACGCCAACTATTGTTCAGCCACACATACTTCTCATGTAAACAATTTGGCTCTTTACAATTGCAAATAGTCATATCAGGTCTCCAATGATAAAGCTGTGAATCCATCTTTTGTTGTTTTCTCTTGTCTTTATTTTTCTTAACTCTCTGTCAAAGCGTCTTTGAGTTTCATGAAAAGCGCTATAAAAGTCCCATGTATTATTATTATTATTATTATTAAAGCTGTTACACACGCAAAGCACAACAATGGGGGACAGCATGGCAGTCTTTTCCATACTATACTTAAAGATAGCAGTAAAATAGGTTTCTCTACCACAATTATTGTTGGAGATTTTGCTAGGTATGTCCTTATCAATTCCTTTAAATACCAAACTGTATCTTTGTGATCGACGACAGTGATAAGTCAGAAGGAATATTCCCAAACTGCTCCTAGAGGTGGTGCACTTCCTGGCAACCTTGACAGTTTGCATCCTCGGTAATCCAAAACTAACTCAATCATTCCCACTTCTCCTTTTCATGTTGTCAGCTTCATTTTGTATTTTCACCCTGGTAAATAAGATGTTGAGCAGTAGCTACCGTACTACTAACGGTGGCCTTGGGTGCAATGGTTGTTTGGCAAGTTAAGTCGTTTTAGACGTTAAAGGTGAAAAGACTTCAGGCAAAGAGGGCTTGACTGGAATAAATCAAGTAAGGTGAAGTGTTCCTGTGCGGACATGTTATATTCTTGCCTGGGCTCAGCATCACGGCTGGAATACAATCTTATCAGGCAAAAGAAAGCCTGTGAGGGTTTTAAAGTTAGATGCAGCTCAATTAGAGCAGATGCTTTACTACATTAAAAAAAAGAACAACCAATGATTGCTTAAAGTAAAGTAGATCGTGCTCAGTGTTCTAATCTGTAAAAACTAAGATCTTAACATTGTTCCTTCATTGTTAGAAAAGATTCTGTCAGTGATTGAAAATATTCAGTTAATGTGACACTGCATAAAAACAATGCAGAAACTGAATGTTGGATTCAGACATTCCTACGGGAAAGTAGGATTTCAAAGAATCTGCTCTTGTGAGGTCAAAATCCATCTTAATATATCAAAAGTAATATATCATCAACAGGAGACAAACAATTAGGGATTGTTCAACGATTGTACCAGGATTTGTTTAGGTCATTTCCTACATGCTCAACAGCTGGTGGGAAACAGGAGGATGAAGAATCACTAGCCTGATCTTCACTGCTGAACATGACCCTGTTTTCAATGAGAGAACAGATACGTAGCTGGAGATTTACAGACTGAAACGGAAATAACTACATACAGTAGATAGAGAGCAGAGTATAAAATACATGTAAACGTGTTTGTGTGTGTGATTATGTGCGATTGTGTGTGTCAAAGTGTGGAAATGTGTCCATGAGAGCCATGTGCAGCCAGAGGGCGTGTCTCCCACCATCAGCGCTATGCTCTTCCACCAAGCGTCAGAGGTCAACACCCCTGACCCTGCCCTGAGCACAACACCCCCTGCACGTGCGTGTGCGTGTGCGTGTGCGTGTGTGTGTAGCTCCAGCTGTGCTGCTGGGCAGCTGATGGAGAGCAGGAAGAAAGGTCAGCGGTTGCTCGATGTGTTGTCTGTCTGTTTACAGTGTAACGAAGAATGGGAGGCGCAAGAGGAGGATGAACAGGAGGATGAGGAAGAGTGAAGCCGGGCTTGCAGAAAGGGAGGGATTAGGAGAAGGATAGGGAGGTCAGAAGGAATGTATTATGCCTTGAGCGGTGTGTTTAAGCAAGAGAAGGAAGGACAAGGGGTGAAGGGTCAATCTGCATTACCAGAGCTGGTTGCTTATTGAGCGTGTATAAATGTGCAACCGCAAACGCACAATCTTGACACAGTGTGGAGTAAACAACACATGCTCTGAACAAACCACAAGATGCTTACACAACAGTTCAATCAAATCCTAATTATGTTATGAAGAATATGTTATTCTTAACTACCCGACAGATTCAAGAAACACACGGGAAATGAACAACACATACAGAGAAATAAACGCACTGGACCTGGTCTCTTTCTTTCTCTCTCTCTCTCACACACACACACACACACACACACACACGGTACATCCAAACAGGCAGAGATACAGACAGGTGCGGGGCTATGAAAAGGCCACGGTGTCTTTATAGTCAGCTCTCAGAAAAGGTTATTAGGCATCAACCGGAATAGGCGGCTGTCTCAGCCAATAGAAAGTGGAGGCATGAGCGCAAGGGCCGAGAGGGTGGAGGGGTCAAATCAAGGAGTGACAGGCGGACGTTAGGACTTGCCATCCAGGTGAATGCAGATGGAACAGCTGCCAACACTGACATTTAACTGACATCAACAGCTAGCATTAGCAACGTGTGCACTTCTGTTTATGTATATGACATAAGAAACAGTGTGTGTGTGTGTGTGTGTGTGTGTGTGTGTGTGTGTGTGTGTGTGTGTGTGTGTGTGTGTGTGTGTGTGTGTGTGTGTGTACTGTGAGTAAATCTGAAGGTCAGACAGAATTATATACAAATCCACACACACGGTCTGTCTGTGATTTCGTGGTGTGCTGGTTATGATATGAATATGGAGGAGTTGGAGCAGAAGGCTTAGTGACACTGGGACAAGGTGATAGGAGTGGACAGGTGTGCGCGTGTGAGCGTTCGCCGGTGTGTCAGCGCTTTGTGCCAGGACAGCAGGTGGCTAGTCAAAGGACATCAGTGACCTTCTCCTTATCCCTCCTTCTACCCTCCTCTCTTTGTCAATCTCTTCCTCTGTCCCCAAGTCCCAATTTATCACACAGGGCGCTCTGCCTCTGCACAACAAGTCACGGGCACGTTGAGAAGATGAACACATACACAGGTGTGGGTGGTTTATTCATGAACTTTTGTGAGATTCTGTTTTGACACTGTGTTGTTGAATAATGTAAATGCACAGTGTGTCCTCCAAGCAGAGTAAGTGAAGGGTGAGAAAGTCTGGAGAGGATGTGTGAAAAAATAACTAAATGGAAGTGTGTGTGTGTGATATGCTTACCTTTAGTGGCTGATGGAAGAGGATTGAAATAGACATAGAATTGGGAAGAGAGAGGGGGGGTTGAGAAAGAGAGTGAGACATTGCTCATTACCGTGAAACACAACATGATAACAGTATTGGTAAATAAAATAAAAAACACACAAGCCAAAGCCACACACTCACGCTTTGTCTGTGAGGAGAAGGCCAAGGTGAGTTTGGCAAAGAGCTCGTTGCTTTCAAATGTATTCTCTTTTGCCTTGATCCAGAAACTCTTCTCAGAGAGGTCCTCAGACCCGATCTAGAGAGAGAAATGCCAGAATAGACAGAGAGAGAAAGAAAGGGGGAGACAGAGGTGTATTGTATCTGTTAGAGCGGTGCTTCTCAAACTTTTTTCAGTAATGTACCCCCTTTGAGAAATGTTCTCAGCCGAGTACCCCCTGACCGACCCCGAACATTTTTGATAGAAAAAGCCTATATACATAATTACAATATAGTGATGTTCCATCAGTGTGTGATTTATTAACTCCTTCATGCGTTACAACAAACTAAGGATTTTTTCATCTTTGTGCATGAAAAAAAAGAACATACACGATTTTTCCAAGGGGTTTTTCAATTGAAGTAATATGTTTAACAAACCAATGAACAAAATGATATATTATGAAAAACTATAAAATACAATACACACATTTGACATGTTTATATGAGGACCCCCTTGGTGGTTCTAGAAATATTTTATATACAATTGTGTTTTCTATTTCACTTACTGTACTAAGATTATTTTTGTAATCATGCATGGTATTTTTTTTAATTAACCTTTTTTTTTATCTCACGTACCCCCTGCAGTACCCCCAGGGGTCCGCGTACCCCCATTTGAGAGTCACTGTGTTAGATAGCCATATCATCAAATTGACTCAATTTCCCCAAAATGGTCATCTGTGCACCTGGCAAACAATGAGATGAGCAGATAAAGGAGTCGGCAGAACAAAAGAAACAGCCGGGCTGTCAAAGGAAGAGGCAGGGTATGATAGAGAGAGAAGAGGAGGTTGAAGGAAGGAAGCATGGCACAAAGAGGAGGAAACAGGTAGTTATTTCCTCTAATCTTCACAGATTGTCTCTACCACAAAGCATCTTATGCTCCAGAGCGTCACACACAGAAACAAAAAGAAATACAGAGCCGGGTTCCATTCGTTCCTGCTTCGCCCTTACCCAGCTGCGTTCTCTACATCCCCCCCTTTGTCTTGATATCGCTCTCCCTCCCTCTCTCTCTCTATTCTGGTCTAAAGTCACAATTAACTTTGTATGTTTTTCCTTTACTTTCTGAGTGTTCTCATTAAAAGGGAACGAGAAAGAGAGAAAGTGAAACGGAGAGAAAGAACTGGTAGTAAATGTACAGATATCAGTCCTTTCATTATGGACCGAGCCTGAGGGATGGGAGCGTTGGACAGAGAAGACAGAGAGAAGGGAAATGTGATATGGGAATGAGCTGAAGGAGCAAGAAAGAAAAGCAGGAGAGTATGCAAAAAGGAGGATGAGACCAAGCCAGAAAAAAAAGTTAATTTAAATTACAAAAGAATACTGTCCTTTCTGGCAGCAATTTAATTATCTTTCAGTGGCGCAGTTAAAAGAAGAAGGCTTATTAAAAAGCAATTTCTGTGACATCCTCGTCAAACACTCTCACCAGCCCGAGAGAGCAAGAGAGAGAGAAGAGAGAGAGAGAAGTTAAATGCTGATGAAGTCTGCTGAAGCCATTAAACAGTAGCTTTAGGCTACAGAAAGACAGAAGGCCGTTTTGATGTTTTAACCATCACAGATGAGAGGGTGGAGAAGAACATGAAGCACATAGTCATGAGATACACGTATGCATGCGAGTGACTTTAGGTCAACATCTCACTGTAGAAGCTCCCTCTCACCCGGAGCTATTTCTAAATATATTTTAAACTAAACACAGTAAGATTCACTTAACTTTAAATTAAAGTCATACCTTCTCATTAGGAGCTAAAAAACAGTAGGCTGTATTAGCAGACAACTGCCTCATCGAAACAGGATACCACAAAAACAAGCAAGCGCAAGTTATTTTAATTGTTGTGAAACAATAATACCAAACAAAAAAACCTGTATGCAAGATTTGACATTTCTGGGGATTTCATGTGCCCAATTAAAAAGAAATGTGTTGCAGAAAGACGCATGGAGCTTTAATACTGGTATTAACCATGTGGCCAAACCTATGCTGAAAAAGGTTTGTTCACAATAAAGAGAGATCTCTGAGGACATTAAATACTAACTGAACTCATAAATGATGTTAAACCTCACCTGTCTGGTTCAGTTAATCGTAGTCAGGTCAGGCCATGTATATAACCTGATAAGGCATATGTTTTGGTAACCATAGCACATATGCATGTCAGCATGTTCCTGATGAACAGGTCAAAAGCCGGTAGAACTGCTGTGCTTTTATCCAAATCAGAACACTTTGTCAGTTCATCACGTCCAATTAAAAGTGACAGGAGCGCCTTGGGAGCCCAATGGTTAGGGACCGATGCCATATGGCTGCAAAGTCCCATGTTCCCGCAAAATATCTACTATTTTTACTCTACCAGATAAATAACTGATGATTTTATGATCACTTTTTCAAAATGAATAATATATTGAACCATCTAACTAAGGACTGACCTTGCTCCAGTTGGCTCTCTTCAGTTGGACCTCAGGCTTGTACTCCTTTTTAGGCTCGAGTCCAAAAGGCAGTGAGGGTGGTGCGGGGGCCCCCCAGCCCCCCATGCCAAACGGTGGAGGGGGAGGCATACCTGGGCCTGGCGGTGGAGGGGGGGCACCAGGAAACCCTGGCGGAGGTGGCGGTGGTGGAGGTCCCATCCCAGGTAAGGGTGGAGGGGGTGGTGGTCCTGCCATGCCCGGGAGGGGTGGGGGGGGTGGAGGTCCTGGCATGCCAGGGAGGGGTGGGGGGGGGTGGGGGTCCTGGCATGCCCGGTAAAGGAGGTGGAGGAGCAATATACGCTTGACCCGGTAAAGGAGGAGGGGGAGGGGGACCAGGCATGCCTGTCTGGCCAGGTAGGGGCGGGGGTGGAGGTGGATGGGGCATACCTGCATTCTGGCCTGGGAGAGGAGGGGCGGGAGGTGGAGGCGGCAAACCTGGTGTTGGCACGGGAACAGTAACTGTGACAACTCTCGTCTTAGCCTCTTCCAGATCTTTAGACAGCTTTTCAATCTGCAGGAGAGTAATGAAGGATGTTATCATACATTTGAATCATAATATGACTCGATATACTACTGTAACTCTCCACACCACAAACTGTCATTTATCAGTATTTATGCATGTATGTATGTATACGTACAACTTGACTGTATATTGTTCATTCCTTGAATTGTCATTATTGTGTTTAGCTTTGGCAATCTCCACCATTTCAAAAGAATGGCCATGCCGACAGAGTGATTAGATTTGAGAGAAAGAAAGAGTGACGTAGAGAGGGATTAAAGCAAGGGAAGGATTGAGTTTTGGGAGAGATGGGGAGAGGATGGATGACAAGTCACAAAGAGAAAAACACAACAGGGGGAATTAAGTCCAAAGAGGAAATCAAACGAAAAAAGTTTTTAAGAGGACAAACTCAAATTAATTTATAGTGAGCGTGAAATGATTTTTTTTATTTCCTCACTGAATGACTAATCACAGTATTTACATCAGTGAGGCACAACTCTTGAGAGAAACTGTCCAAGTCATTAAAATCAGCCAGCTAATATTGGCCTCTGCAAGGTCGGTGCTTTGAGATAGAGTATACTTTACACAACTCAGAGCGTAGTACAGAGAAGTTGATTCACTGGGTGTGTTCGACTTCCAGAAGGTGTGTTGAGTGTGAACAGTGTGCCTGTGAAAGCGTGTCTGTCTGAAGCGTAACAAATTGTTTGTGTCGTTTCCTCAGACTTTGAAAAGAAGACAGCGACAGACATAAAGGGCCTTGGAGGCAAGCTTTCTTAGTGAGGAAGCAGATGAAGAGTTGGGCACAGCTTCACACGGAGGGACAGTGAGAGATCTCGACATGTGAAGAAATCTTGGATGGGCAGCGCCTCAAACACAGAGGAAGTGAGCCATCTTAGTATGAGAAGCTTGTCTGATGCCTGGCTGGTGATGCTGTTGATGCATCGGACAACTGTGTGTGCATATGTGTGTTAGGGCTTTTGTGTGGTGAGACGATGACTCTGCTGGCATCAGCCACTTTGGATGAAGCTCATTTTGGAAGCTGTGCAGTTCTCTCGCTGACTGACACACAGCGGAACATCTTCACGTGGTCATGAGCACACATGCACAGAGGCAGACTGTTCTGGGTCACTTGGTGTGTTTGTGAGTTCGGGTGTCACTGTGAGGCAGAGTCCAGCTGGTGTGGCAGCAGGACTCTGACAGCTAAACAATCCTCATCTTTGCCTCCCTACTGGATGAGTGCACACACACACACACACACACACACACACACACACACACACACACACACACACACACACACACACACACACACACACACACACACACACACACACACACACACACACACACACACACACACACACACACACACACACACACACACACACACACACACACACACACACACACACACACACACACACACACACACACACACACACACACACACACACACACACACACACACACACACACACACACACACACACACACACACACACACACACTGGGTGTGTGTATCTTGGCCTTAAAACATTCAGTTTGTGCCATCATTTTCCTTTCTTCTTCTTTCTTCTCCCTTTAGTCACTCTTTATACTCCAATTCCCACTTTTTTTTGTATTGACTTTCTTAATCTCTAAAGGATTTGGCTTATTCTCACGATATCCTTTTAGTTTGTTTCCTATTTTCATGCCATGCTGGCAGTTGGCGAACTCATTTAAGGCCAGGGGGCTTCTGTGTTTGTGTGGGTGTGCATAGATGTTGGACAACTTTTTGGTGCTTAGACTTCTGCAATATTGTATTCATCGAAGGCTCCAAATATTTCACTTCTTGCAGCTCTAGCAGAAGTTTCTGTTTTGAATGGGTGTGTGGTTCCATTAAACTCACTGATTCAATTATCTGACTCAATCTATATGGACGTGTCCTAAAGTTCTGGTTATTTTTGTATTGTCTACGCGGCATCAAACAATGATGGAAGTACTGTATGAAGTCTTTTGGAGCTGGTCACCTTGTCTGTATGAAGTGTCAGGTTCAGCTCACCTTTTAAATAGATGTAGGTGTGTATTGTAAGATGAATCCACTCAGCAAATACTTCTCTTAAAATGCAAACAGTTCTATTTCTATACTTGGAGTTATTTGAATTCAAAGAAAGGTAAGTATGTGTTTGTGTACCTGCTGTTGCAGAGTGCCAAGCTGTAGTTGCAGTCCCTGGTTCTCCTTTTCTCGGTCCAGCTTCGAATTGGCCAGCTGTTCCTTCTCTTGGCTCAAGTCCTGCAGCTTCTGCTCATAGTCACCCTCCAGTTTCGTCAGCTCCACCTGCAACTCGTGGCGTGATGTCAGCTCTGCATCCAGCTAATACACGTGTGGAAAGTCATAGAGAGGGACAGGCTTAGTTGCAGTACTCTTGAAGTGCAAAGTAGACTTTTTGTTGGCTTTTCCATTGTTGTGCAGTGCTCAATTCCAAGAAGAATTCTCTTGAGGCTGGCAAAAAATATTCTCTCAGGCACTAACAAACGATCCAATTGGCAACAGGACTGCACAGATACGGTGCTATTGTTGAGAAAATAGTGTTGGTGATGTGTATGTTTTATGAATATTCAGTTATACGCGTGCAACTTCTTCATATCCACCTGTCAGAGTAAACTCTTCCCCTGGATATTAGGCACAGTCTCTAGTCAGCAAATATAAAGGACTTTTGTGCCAACAGTCTCATGTAACTGATACCAAAACAACAAACGTACATTTACCCTCAAAATCTTATTTTAATTGAATGATTGAATTCAAATTCAATACTGAATAGTATTAGAAATGAATTACCAAAGGAATATATTAAATATTTTACAGCATTCTTGGTATAAAATAAAGGCAAATAATGGGTGTTTTTGGAGGGGTTCTATTACAGGATTAGGTTAGAGCTAGAGGTCTTCAAACGAAAGAACCCTTTCTATACAATTGAATTTAAAGGATGACTGAAGAGCAGTAAAAGCTCAACATAAGATGCAGAGCATCGATATCAAGCCCAAATTACCAAAACACCACGGCTCTCGACTGAGATATGGGAGCAAAGCATGCAAAAGCTTTTAGTCTCCCTCTTGAAGCTGCAGCACTTTTTCTAGCTCAAAGACCAGTAGAAGCCATTTCTTACAGTCTAGTGCTTTCAGTTTCATTATATAAAATTGTACTGGTAATTAGTGTCAATTATTGAGTTAGGATGCTCTAGTGCACTTGTTCACATCTCTCTTTCATTTCAAGCATATGCATTTTTTTTAAAGGGAAAAAGAAAATGTTGTACCCTAGTTTAATGTTCCCACTTTCATAAATTGTCAAGTGTTTTCTTCTAGGACACTTGACAAACAGGATAAGAGTATGAAAACAGATGACAACATGAACACACAGACACACATGGCCGTTTCATTTCATTTCCGACAACAGATCCGTTACTCTAGCTGTCAGCGCCCTGACAGCCTCATCCCTGCCAAAGAGACTGCCTGCAATTACCCCTAGCACTATGGTGTGTGTGTGTGTGTGTGTGTGTGTGTGTGTGTGTGTGTGTGTGTGTGTGTGTGTGTGTGTGTGTGTGTGTGTGTGTGTGTGTGTGTGTGTGTGTGTGTGCGCGCGCGGATAAATGGATATGATCCAATGTGAGTGTGTGTCTTTATGCACGCCTGAATGAAGGCTAGTTGCAGCTCTCTCTTTGCAATTATCCTGTCACTGGAACAGGAACATCAGGCCAGCGGCGCGTCGCAATCAAGGCATTTACCCCCCTGTGTGTGTGTGTGTGTGTGTGTGTGTTGTGTGTGTGTGTGTGTGTGTGTGTGTGTGTGTGTGTGTGTGTGTGTGTGTGTGTGTGTGTGTGTGTGTGTGTGTGTGTGTGTGTGTGTGTGTGTGTGTGTGTGTGTTATTTGCTAGCCTATAGAGTATTTGTCTGTCGGACACATGAATTATCATTTTCTTAGTCACCCACTGTCCCTCCCTTTTTTCTTATTTGTCATCTCATGTCAGACAAACACTGGTCGCATAGAATTTCATTACAATCTCAATGTGTGTGAGCGGGAGACGTTGGCTTTAACAATGTATGAATCTTTTTTGATTGTGACAGGTTGTGTGCTTCTGGGATGACGTGAAAATATGTGTGTGACTTGCTGTTGCTTGTGTGAGCATGTCTGGTTATTTAACGTGAATCATTTTGAGTGCGTTTCACCTTCTTCTCCAGCTCAGATGCCTTGGCCTCGCTTGTTTCTACCTTGGTTTGGTCCACCATGTTGTCTGCGGACAAACAGAGAGAGGACAGAATAATAGAAAAGAGAAAGAGAAAAAAAAAGGTGGTGGGTAAGATAAGGGTTTCAGACAATGCACCTGCACACGTCTGGAAGTGAAGACATCGCACCCTTCAGTCTGGCACATGCGGTGCGCCCAGATACACATTCACAAACAGATGCATACACACAAAGAAAGCATCCTATTGGTCTTCCTGTTTCTCCCTTATCACACCACTCAAAGTCAAGATCTGTGAGAAGATTGTGGAGCCATCTCATTACAACAGGGTGCCATCTGTTGCATTCTGCTTCTACACATCATTACCTTTTAAACATCCAATACATACACCTTTGTCTGGCTGTGTGTCTGTGCAAGAGAGGTGGGAGCACACAAAATATGAAATCTGACACCATTTTATAATAATTTGTATATTAAAAAAATAAATAAATACTATATAACAGTGTTAAAGTAATCCACTATCAGAGGTTCTTCTTGGTATAGGACCAGGTGAGAAGGACACATGCTGACCAATAGGGTTCCTTTGCAGAATAAGTGCAGGGCGGTGCCGTAAAATAACTAATTAACATGAAGATGGATGCCACAAAGTCACCGGATGAAAGACAGCTAATCATGATCCCAGGAGAGGGATCAAACAGATAGATAGCAGAGATAGAAGAGCTGGAAAAAGCTAAATAGTAAATGAAGTAATGGAATAACTTATAGAAAGGGAAATATACAGATTGTGAAAAGATAAAGTTTGAGTCTGAAAATATGGCTGGTGGAAAAAGAAGTGGAAGTTGCCTTATATCTAGATAGGGTAGGCAGAGCAAAAATGGGAAATCTATTTTGTGAGAGAGAAGATTTTGCCAGATGAAAGGACTTCACAATAATATGCCAACCCACACACAATTTCAGAGCGTGCATTTGTATGAGTTTACATGGTTATTGGATGCGTAATGGAAGAAGGGGGGCTGTTACTTCTGTCATGGTGGCAAGGCTAAATGGGACAAACTTGGAATAGAGAGCACTAAGGGAGCCAGAATATGGGGAGAAAACTGTGCTGAATTTCAGAGTTCAAAGAAAAACACTAAATAATGCATGCAGGGCAGAATTGGGCTGCTTTCCACCGATAATAACTCTGGCAGCATTAAAGGAGGCCAGCCAGTTTGTGTGTATGTCAGGACCCATTTAGAAGCAGTGCAATTAGAGCCTCCTACGGTGAGCAACGGAGACCCGCCATAAAGGAGTATTGAACTCTTGAGACATGGCCTGCAACTCCATTATGCTCTGGTTTGGTTTACTATAGTCAGTCAGTTTCCAGTGCTGTCACTCAAGTCCACAATTCCACATGCACTTAAATGCATATGCACCACAGCCAAATTCAGCATTTCATGTGTGTGTAAAAAAAAAAAGTCATAATGCTTTCTTGATACCCGAGGAAAAGTCTGTTATTTTATTCCAGTAGCTGGTAGGCATTCTGTGTCTCACTCACAGCCACTTATGTTCACCATTTTTTTTCTTAAAACTATAATTGTGTGCATACATGTGCATCAAATGACTTTAAATAACTTGCTGTAACCACTACTAGCCATTAAAGATCGTTTCCAAATGTGCTTGCAATGGAAGCGATAGAGGGAAAACTATACAGTCAGCGTTCTGCGCAAAAACATGAGGCAATATAAATCCAGCAGTCTGTGTTAATCAAATCAAGTGAGAACCCTCCAAAGTCTTCCTAGAATTTCCTTTTTTCTGTTTCCCCTGAAACAGTTTTCTCCAAAAGTGTCTTCTTGCTGAGCTGCAGCAAAGGCATAGCAAGCTGAAAAGGCAGTGACTTTGGAAAGTACTCAACTTGATTTGATTAACACAAACTGCTTAAGCCTAGCCTATTTTATTATCAAGAAGAAATCTCTAAAATTGTCCTTTTTACTCCAGTTGAAAAGGACATCAGGACAGGATCTTTAAATGGCCCGTTTGAAAAGGAGGAATAATGACACCTTTGATGCCCAATTCAAAGACTTGTGAACCTATTCAAAGGCACATGTACCTGTCCTGGGCCTTGCTGAATTCATACCTTTTTCTATTAATACATTCACCACAAGCACCTGAGAGTTTACATAAAACCAATTGTGTGTCAGGGATCAAACGTTGGAGATATCAGATGAATCTCACCTACTATATAGTAAAATGACACCCTTAGCTAAAGATCATATTTTACCACCAACCAGTGACTGTAAAACCTGTAGCACAATTCAGCTCAAAGGTACACTCTTCCACTCTGGCTCCACCCTGTGGTTGTACTGTACAACTGCACAATTGAAAACCATGGAATTATACACTGTATTATGACCAAGGTTAAATCACATAGGCCAGGTATAATCATGTCAGGGTTTGTGGGTGGAGCTGGCCAGAAGTGAAACATGGTTGAAGGTTCAACTCGCACAGCACTGAGCCAGTGTTGAAGTTTAATGACTGTGAAAATGAATATGGCTCTACATGTTTCAAAGTGTTTGTTGATGAGCAAGAAGGTGTCATGTGAAAAGGAAACGTAATATCATGTGTTTTCTGGTCCATGAAACTCACCTATCAAGCCTTCGATGTTGAAGCCGATGCTACGGCACTTGAAGTCCGGGTCCGCTCCATTTCTGTGAAGCACAACCTGAGCAATACACTCGTCTATCAACTTGTAGTACTGGGGCCTGCAGGATGGAGAGAGTGACAGATTTACAGAGAGATGGATTAGAAGACGGAGAGAAAGAAGTGAAGAGAGAAAATGGGAAGATGATGAGAAGGATGGAAAAACAATGGACGACAGTTAGTATGTGATGCTGGGGGAAAAAGGAAAATGTCACTTTCTACACCATACTTCACATGTTTCGACCACAATGACATTTATAGCAAATGTTTTATAACAAATATGTGTTCTATACCAGTGTAGCCTGCATTAATAAGAACATAATGTTGAGCGGGGCATGGGACTGAAGAGATGAAAGTAGGTTCATTTGTGTGAACACACATGCTTCGTCACTCTGTCTCTGTCTGCTACTGAGATTGGCTGTCTGTGTGACCATGACAGTTTGAGTTTCTTGTCACAATGATTGATTGTGTGCAACTGTGTTCTTGAGAGTGTGTTGGTGTATGTCCAACGCCCCGTGTCTGATCAAACCAGCTTCACACAGACACTCCATTTTGGAGGTGTCTTTTTCCCTGACCCCATTAGATGCTCTCAGAGTCACAAACTCAATACTTTATTTATTCTGTCTCCCTGCATCTCGTCTCTCTTATTCATTCTGCTTTTGTCTAACACTTATTCCACTCCTTCAATATACTTCAAGGTTTTTTTTTTTGTAAAGCTTAGATTTATCCGTGGAGCGAGAGAGACATCTAGTGTCTTTCTGTAAAACTGGAATAGATGTTTGTTTGGCTACATCCAAGAGCTGGCATTCAATACAAGCCTGACCATGTTTACTTATTAGATATAATAGGAGAAATGTGGTTGGTAGGCCTGAGGTTATACACATTTTGAAAAATTATAAAATACATATATATGTCATTACATTTTAAATCTATAAGGCTGTTTGCGGTCTGTGTGCATGCTTAGTATGTGCATGACTAGAGGTATGGAAATACATTTAAGTGCATTTAAGTATTCTGTTAGATCCTCAGGCAACCGTTTCCACTTGAGCTTGAGAAACTGTAAGAGCAAATCAGCAGGTGCTCTTTCATTCATTCCCACACAAAGGCAAAGCCTCCTTTTCCCTGTATGTCTCTCCCTCATTCCCTCAACATCTACCTAGCAATTTGCTTCAACTCTCAATTTCTTCTTCATTATAGTCTCGCCCTCCACCTCGCTTCTCTCCTCATCACTGTAATTATCAAGAGGTATTTTCTGCCACGATACAGCTCTCCCTCCCCCTCACTTCCTGTCTCTCTGAGGAGTCCATTACAGACTACCTCTGTTGTGGATCACAGATCACCTGGATGGAGGAAGCAGGACAGGAAAGAGGGAGGGATGGAAGAGAGGGGAGGTGAAAAAAGACCTCAGCTGGGACCATTTGTTTGGTCCAACCTACCTATTCAAGCCTCACAATTTATTCCCCAAACTGTGTTAAAAATAAACCACAATTTCCTGCCTGTCTGATAGCATCGAGGCAACGCTGACCATCAACACTACAACATCAAATGTGTGCATGCCTGGGCAGGCTGTTGTGAGTGTTTGCCTGTTTTCTGTGATGTTCAGTAAAGCAAACACATTCTTCTCGTGTGTTGCTGACTGTGAAAGTGGACATGCGTGTACAAATGTGCGAACACTATGCCGTACAACTCTCCACTTCCTTAACATTATTCTATCCCCGTCTAGTCATTCAATTATTCACTCTTCTCTCCTCCTCTGTTTCCCCAGCTAAACCCCCACGGGCTTTGGAAGACACAGGGAGAGACATTAGCATATTTCTGGTGATAAGAGGTGATGGTGTTCATTTCTATTCAAATGGAATTGGACTTCTTTGCATGTATTAATTTCTCAGCCTTTGAACGGTGCTCTTGAAGACAAACAGCAAATGGAGGACTGGACTGAGAGAAGGGAGAGGAGGACTAATTCCTTTTGCCTTGATTGTTTTGCTGTACTTTTATGGGACTGCATTGAAACTGCAAAATCAATTGCCAGTGACATGACTACTGTCTTTATGATATCAGGCTGCAATTGAGAATCTGAATTCTTATTCTAGAGTCAATCTCTGCATATTTGCCTTTTGCTACATGCACTGTTTCTCTGAATTCACAATTATTCAGACCATTTGAATAATTAACCTTATTGTAATGTTCACCCGCAAATGAGATTTAACGTATGATAATGATAGAATGTATGTAGTCTCATCACAAAACCTATATCACCATGTCAGCTCTAATAGGTGAATGGCTGGGTCGGTGCAGGTGTGAGAGGGAATTGACATGTATGAGTGTGTACATGTCTGTGTGTTACCTGGCCAAGTAGTCATTACGAACTAGCAGCAGGTGCTGCATCATGGACAGGAAGTGGGTTTCTCCCTTGGAGTCCTTCACTGTGTTGACTAGGATCTCAAACACTTCTCTCACATCAGTGAAGCAAAAGCAGTTAAGGCTTAATTAACATAATACAATAAAATAGTTTTAAATATAAACAACATCTTTAACACAAAGTGACTATTCTGAATAGTCTTTAAGTAACTTTTGCTGTATATACACCATTTACAAGGCAACAAACCTGAACACTGAATATCATGTTTGAGTTCAGAATCTACAGTGAACTAGAGATCAGGCTTTTAATCCCTCCTACCATGTCTTGCACAACTACCACAACCAGTTATATCACACAAATATGTTTAGGTTTCAAAATGAATTTGACCTCAGTGGTTATTCAATGCTGCAGTAGGACTGTGTTTACACTGTGTTGGGTAGCCCAAGGAGACACCTGGTGTTGAAACATATTATTGCAAGCCACAGACTGCACACAGAATTACAGGAGTTGTTTGAATCATTTTTTAAGCTGTTAATCAAAGTGTGCTGTAGTAGTAAGAATGACTTTCTATCAAAGATCCCTGTCCATCCTGGATGTCACACTGAGTCAAATAGCCTCAAACAGTAAGTGTTGTGTGATAAAGATCACAAGAGAGTCCTTTTAAATCTTAATCTGTAAACGTGCTTTTTGTCAAACCAGGACAACATCATGATAGACATAAACGTTTAAAAGGTGGAGATCATATTGGAGAAGAATTGAGCAGCACACAACTTAGCAGTCATTGGACTGACCCTTCTCTGTACAAAAATAAAAGAACAGATGGTTCTGACCTGCAGCAAAGCAATGTCAAAGTCCACCAGTGGTTGGATGTTTTGATGTTTTTACCGCACTGCAGATGAGTAGCAAATGTCTGTGAGCTGCTAATTGGCAAAGACGAATTTTGCTGAAAAAAAGTCAGACAGGGTTACACTGCCCCTAGAGCCTGAAAGATTATGCTTATCAAGTATGAAAATATTCATTTCTGTTACGAAAAAAAAGGCACAAAGGCTTCGGGCTTATAACAGGGAAGAAAAGAGAAATCAGATTTTGTGTGGATTGCTCCTTGAAAACTAATTGTATAGTAAAGGGACTATTTGTTTGTACATATTCTTTCAGAACATTATACAAGTTATTCCTTTGACACTAGCAAATAAAGTAAAAGCGAAAACACAAGCATGAAAAGTTATGTCGTAACCACGTATATAGATTTTCAAGGTCAAAAAGTTGACCCTGAGGGAACATTTTGCCCAGTAGAAGGATATTCCATCTCAATGCGGATGTCATCAAGACGCGCTTTGAGGTCCTCAGAGTCATCTTCAGCCTGCTCATCAAACACGGTGAGTTGCACCCTCAGCTCTTCGTTTTCTATCTTCCGCACCTCCTGCAGAGAAAGCGATGGGATACAGGCGGAGGGATGAAAAGGCAAGCGGGAGAATGACAGGGAGAATGTGACAAACATTGAGAGAAAAAAATTCACAGCATAAGAAAGACAGAGGCATCAAGAGAGAGAGACAGGAAGAGTAAGTACTTGTGTGTGTTGTTAGAGAGTCACTTTGAAAACATCAAAAGAGAGTTTTTTCTGTACCGTCAGCAGCTCTCTGAGTCCCAATCTCAGCAGTTCAGAGCGAATATGGATCCTGAAGTCCAGCTCTTCTCCGCGGCTTATCAAGGCGTTGATTAGCTGCATGCAGCCACCCTGTTGAAAACACGCCGGAAAGTTAGCTTCACAATTCAGACTAACTGGAAATATGATAACTTTAATACAAAACACAAGAAGTATCTGCTGAGTCAGTCTTTTACAGGGAAGATTGCATTGACTAGGGCTGTCAAATCAAATGAAATTGGGTCTGTGTTTTTTATCAACAAGAATACATGTGGGGATTTATAATTGTAAAGTGCGTGTGGATGTGCACCTTTAGAGCGATGTTGTGATTTCTCATGCCAGAAAGGAGAGGCTGGAACCTTTCGATGTCCTGTCTCTCTGCCTCCTCTGTGATGGCCTCCAAAACACGCTCATGACTGCAACACAAACAGACAATTATGCATCGGATATAAAACATCGCTATATGCTGTTACTAGAGAGGCATGCCAAGTTGCCCTCAGCCTATTGGCAAATGAGATGACATTCATCCATGGCAGTGTCTGAGTTGATCTGTTTTGTGCATCAGTTTAGCACCCGATAAATGTTCAGTTATTTGCAGGCAGACTCTGAAGCAGTCGCTGGCATACCGAGCCGCTGGCTGGCTCAGGGAGGATGAAGGAGCACAATGGGTAGCGGATGTGGGTTGTATACAAATGAAAGAACATGTAGACCGTGTGGGAGTGTTACAATGTCTCTCTAGAAATGGGGCCACTCTAGGATGTTGGAGAAATAATCACCTCCATTTTCCAGCATTATGTGCTCCATGGACAGTGAGGAGCTCTTCGTCTCACATTTTGGATAAGAAAGGAAATAGACTGAGTGGAGAAGCTTAATCAATCTTTAGTATCATATGAGCGGGCAATAAGTATAGGTAGTTGTTGTAGCAGGATGAAATGGCTTTTAAAGACGCTATTCAGTTATTTTTTGCATTCTCATTTGCACTATGTACATCATCTTTTTTGATATATATATATATCCTGCTTACTTTAAGTAAACGGTTATTTTGTGTTTTTTTGTAAATATTGAGTGTTCTTGTACTTTAATGTGTGTTTTTTGTATTCCTCGGGACTGTGGGAAACAGTATTTTGATCTTTCTGTGTGTACAAACATATTTTGAGATTGACAATAAAGTTGACTTTGACTTGATTCAAAAGAACAATCACCAGTTAAAAATGTGTATCGGCTCAGTATCTAGAATAGGTGCATCTCTAGTTGTTACATCAAATATTAATACACAAATACTACATTTACCTTGAAAATAATGAATGCAGAAAAAAGTGCATTCTGTCGCTTTGCTTGACAGTTTTAATTGAAACCTGACATACAGGTGAAAGAGACAAAAGTATGTTCAGTTATAAATATAAATTGCTGTATTATTCCTAATTGCCAACAGAAAACATATTAGACTTTGAACTGTGAACAATAATTGCTTTTCCAGGGTCATCATTTCTGCACATTATATTAAGGACATGGTGTCAGAATTTCCCTAACACCTACAGGTTCTCAGGATGTTCCATTATGGAGATGGCAGAAAGCAGCTTGACAGCGTCCACCATCATGTGAGACACCCGGGGGTTGATGGCTTTGACCAGCAGAGGAATCCCTTCCACTGACTCCAGCATGGATTTTAGGCCGCACTAAAGACAGAAAGAAAGTGTGATGATGAGAGAAAGCTAAATGAGCAAGATAACCATCAGCCTTTCATGTTTAAAATGATAGTGTTTACATCAGAATTAATTTTCTCTTGCAGGCTCCACATCATTTACACTCAATAAAATGGTGTGTAATTATTAAATGTGATAGATTCCTGAGAGATTTATGCTAATTATCTAGTGTTGGTTGCATTCGCGAATAAAAAACATGAAAGCACAAGAGTTATTATTGACAGCATGTATTGAACAGCCAAGTTGGTCACATTGACTTTATGCCCTCTAGTGGAAGAAGTGCTACACTGCAGATAGGACACAACATGGGCTTAGAATGATTCTATTACTTGTTCTGTAACAAGTAATAGACCACAGGCAACAACAATGTAAACCATAATAAAGACAGAATGAAGTATTTCTATGCAATTAATAATACATTGTGGTACCTTGTTGTTCATGAAGGCTTTTAGACAGCGGATGATCTCGTGTTGACATTTCACTCCGATGTGTCTAGTTTGTGGAGAAAAGTAGAGATACAACAAAGACATTACAAACACACTGCTAAAGAGTCAAATTGCTTATCGTGTGGTTTAAATGTCTCACGAGCACTCTTCTTTGTCATCCTGTAGTTTTCTAAGCAGATTCAGCAGCAGGGCCAGCCCCTCATCTCCGAAGTTCTGCACCCAACTGGAAGAGATGAGAGGACATGATCGATACACTGTACTTTCATATTTTCACATTTTATGGCTCACTTTCTATTTGGTGGTTTTTCACATTGACATTATCTTGTAATTGTATGTTAGAAATAATAATACAAAAGTGTTTTTTTCTTTACATTTCAGCTAAAGCATTATTTGTTGCCTTCTTGGTACTCCTTTGAACGTACTGAATAGAGAGAGATACTGCGTGAATTGTGACAAAGACCTACTGAACCTACTCTTAACCTTAAAGTCCTTTTAGGCATGTATCATTTGAGTAGCACTAGCATGAAGTACTTCAATTTCTGGTGTTAAAGTAAACTTCATAATGTTGAAAAATGTCGTTTTCTTTTAATGACACATGTGTTGTTACATTTTCTTGGCTAAATGATAACTTGTTATGTTGTGTATGTAGCTGACGCTGTAGCCTGTAGGCTTTCTCTTATACAGAAGAATCGCTGACACCGTGCTTAAACAGTGTTTTGTGTAAGTAACTGAACTTGCATTGCCGTCTGCCATTTAGTTGTGATGTAATAATATATTTATATGTTTCTAGAATATCGTAATCGAAAAAAAATTTAGGGCCATATCTACCACAGCTGTGTGAGGAACAAAATGTTGCTACCTTTAAGTCAGCTTTTTAAAATAAAAGATTCTTAATTAGCAAGTGAAGCATATATAAATAGGATGGTATCACCTTTGCACCTGAAGACACTGCTTATTTTCTTTCTTTGTAAAACGGCTTAAGTTCTGTCAAGTTACATGGCGATAATTAAAGATCAGTGAAGTTTCAATTGGGTCGAGGCCTCGAGTTCACACAAGGAGAGTGACACAGTTCAAGGAGTTATTGCATGAATCTGGTTTGATGTGTTATTTGAATAGACACTGTGTGTGTGTGTGTGTGTGTGTGTGTGTGTGTGTTGTGTGTGTGGTGTGTGTGTGTGTGTGTGTGTGTGGTGTGTGTGTGTGTGTGTGTGTGTGTGTGTGTGTGTGTGTGTGTGTGTGTGTGTGTGTGTGTGTGTGTGTGTGTGTGCGCGTGTGTGTGTTACCTGACAGGGTTGTTGTTGAGTGAGACTCGCAGAGATTCCAGACAGCTCAGCAGCTGTGCGTCTCTGTAGTCTGACTTTAACTCCTGGATATACATCATGGCTGATTTGGTGCTCTCCTTCTGGTTTTGACCCTAATCAACAAACACAAAATCACACTGTTTTTTGCTTTTATATGCATCTTGTTACAGGTTGTAATTGGTGTTCTCTTTACAAGCAAGCACGCGGCCGGGCACCAAGGGCAACATTCAAGCCTAAATTGACATTTTGATTAGCAGATTTCAAGGGTACTGTGCGCAGTATTTTCTATATATATATATATATATATATATATATATATAGGTCCTTCGAGCTACTCTCTTTCACTATTTTGGATTATTTTACACCTGCTGCTTTATTTACCCAATGATGCAATGGTAGCTGGTCTTTCTAATGCTGGTTGTGCTTTTTATTGACTCTACATTCACCAGGGAATATATTTGTATAATGTCTATAACAAAGCAGTCTTGAGTCAGCAACTCTATAAGCAAAGGGATCCCTGACCACAGAGTCAAGGCATTTGACTCCACATTTGAGTAATCAATTAATCAAATATTGTTAGAGCCATTTTCATTTAGTCATTATGGTTTGAATGTTAGGCTTAATAATTATATATGGATTTATCTTAAACTCTTAATCATTTATTTTTGTGAGTCACACTATGGTTTAAAAGATATTCATTTAAGGCTCACTCATTCGTTACCAAATGTGCGTCAGGTATCGCGTGCATGTCTACATGCCTATATATGGCAGGACAATGGGACACAGCTGATTGTGATGAGACGGGGAAGCAGTAAAGTCTTTTGACCGTGCTCTTTTTGGTCTTTTTTGATACTGATAACTTTGAGTTACTATGAAGCGAGGAAATGTGTCTTCCTGTTTCTATGCCGTTTGGATCAATTCATAAAGCTGATCTGATTCAACAACCATCTCTGCTCAATTAGTTTGGAAAGAAAGAGAGGCGCGTCAAAACCATAGACTGTATATATAAAACCCACAACCCCGACAGAGAAGTGGCTATTAAATGTAGACACGGATTAAAACGCCACCACAAATATAATAGTGTCACTGTATGATCGGATCACGTTTCTTATTTAGCCTAAAAAAAATCCTTCTGGTTTCATATATTTGATCACTTTGGTTTTCAAAATAAATATGAGAAAACCCATACGGCATGTAAAGGCCCAACCGTTTAGTTCTTCTGAGTGCTGAAACAACAACGTGCATGAAGCAGTCTGTGAATTCCCTGCAGCACAATAAGCAAAGTGTATTTTGGTACTGACCGCTTTAGACGTGTGGAGGTACTGGGAGACCATCTCTCGTTTGATCATAATGTCTTTTGCCCTGAGAGGCTGCTGCTTCTCCCCATTCAGGTTCATATCCACCTGAAGAAAGACAGGAGGAGGGGAGTTAGAAGAAGAGACAAATACGGTTGGATGATGATCAGTGCATGATGACATTTTCATCTGTAGACTCATGCAATTAACAAACAGAAAATGCATACTAAAATGGAAATCACTTTGTATTTCATGAGATATTTTCCTTTTAGTCTTTACTAAATTAAAGGCAAGGGATATAAAGCCCCCAGTGAGATGACAATGAACAGAAGTTTAAAAGTGCAAGGTTTGGATGTGCTAAGTAACATAATGAGGAGAATTATTAGATAATGTCATAACTTTTAGAAATGTAAACATTTAAGTCGCAAGAAATGTGTGTTTTGTGTTTAAAGGAAGTACTTCACATGTGTGTTATTAAAGCATACATATTGGGAGCATAGACAGAAATAATGAAGGTAACTGTGAGAGGAATATACAATGTACACGTTTCCATGGCTGTTCACAGGACATGGTGAAGCTGACTCTTTCCCACACGAACCAACAGTCTTTCTCACCAGCATCTGTTCGAACAGGTCCAGGACAGACTCATCTGAAAGATCGTGCAGCATGGCACTCTGAGCGTTGATCTCGTAGTTGGCCGCTGAAGAGTGCCGTTGACTTGGGACCGGGCCGGGCTTCTCCTTGTCCTTCTTCATCCTCATGCTGGTGAAACGCTCCAACTGGATTATCGGACGACATGACACGGGTTAGAGGAAAGGGGTCAGAGGGGAAAACAAACAGTGTAAGCATCGCTGTAAGGACACACAACAAGCTGGCAATCCCTAATCAACTCCCAATGTTAAATAAATGAACAAATGTCAAATGCATTAGGGCGATTTGTAAATGAGTTTTAGTATTTTATGTTTAGTAATAAAACAGTAGAAACCTTTCAACAAAGTGAGACGAGGATTAGGGATTAAAGACGTCAAACAGACATTTCACACATGCAGTGAGCGCTGACACGAGCAGAGCATAACACTCATTGTTTGATAAAGGAATTGTAAAAGAAAATGACTTTGTGGTCATGTGCTAAACCTTGTGTTGAAGAACATACATTTTTGGTTATACATGTAATCTTGGCACATTCTGACATAGTGACCGTGGAAAATGAGTCATGAATAATAATCTGTTAATATAAGTATGACTCTGGCATCCTCCATGAGTGCATCCTCAAAGCATGCACATACAGTGTGGTGTGAGTACAGCACAGGACAAAACACACACTTAAAAACATTTGTGTTATTGTGGATAAGGTTTGTGTGGCAGACATTGTGAACATGACAGGAAATGGATAATTGTCAGTTGAGTTATAACACGGACAAATGGACAAGTCAAGCACATATGTGATGGTCGAACGCAATAACAAACCTACCTCGTCAGGAATCAGGCGTTTGAGTTTCTATAAGGGACGAATGGATGATGGGGAGAAACATTTAATGGAAGGGAAGGAATATCAAACAAACGGATTGAGGGAGAAAAAGAGAAAGAATCAATTAGACAGAAATTAAATAAAACAGGAAACAGATCCAAGAAACTGTCTACAGAGTTCATAGGAGATTAACGGTAGGACAGAAGGAAACACCGTCAACAAATCACTGTCATAACTGAATGCAGTCATTGATACACATTTATAGAGAATTCATTTCATTAAATTGGAGTTAAAGTTGAGGAAATCAAAGGTCTTAAATACACGAGTGACCAATAGGCAGCAGATCAGCAGTCAACACTGATCAGTCAAAGGCTCAGAGACATTCATACATTTTTCAATAGTGGAAATGGCCAAATCTAATATATGTAAAATACATTTGCATCTCTTGGCCACAAGGTGTCAGGCTAGCTCTACTAATGTGCGCATAGGAAACCCAATGTTAGCAGAAACTCAAGCACATGCCCTGACAAAGTCCAAGCTAGGCAAATAACAGATATATCATTCAGAACCAGTATTAAGGTTACGAAGTAGAGGGGATGAGCCTGAAGAGAAAAACACTGCTTTCAAGAACCTTATCAAAGTTAAAGTACGACGATATCCACATTTAGTTCTTCATTGAAAGCTGGCCTAGTATTACAAGATCAAGTCAATACTTCTCCCACATATTTTGACAGAGGAAAGCAAAAGTCACAAGACACTTCCAAGTGCCTCACTATGTAAACAACGTACAATAAATCCAAAAGGAGTTAACCTTGGGGGGGGGGTCGGTCCCAGAGGCAGAGGTCAAAGTCTTCTCATTTAAAGAGCACACAAACGGAGTCAAAGCAGTGCTGATGCTGTCCCTGTGTAGGAAAGGTGCCTGTGTGTTTCTGTTGGTAGACAAAACAACTCCAGGTAGGAAAAGCTTTTTGAAACTGAATTTAAACTTCCAACGGTTTAAACAGGTTGTTGTGGCGTTGCTGCTTGTTGATCTCATTGATCAGTTTACTCAAACGGAGCTTCACAGATATTATAAAGTCAGTTGAGATGAAATCATTGAATTTGAATCCAAGTTGAATGAAGTCAAGATCGAGTTTCTTGTTGAAGCAAAGACAAGACCAAAAGAGAAAATAATAAACATGATTGTAGGTATCTGCAACTTTAACAATTCAAGATATTCATATTATTATGAAAGCGAACTCATCAACCTGTGGAGGACTCCTGCCGTGTTGTGAGAGCAAGCACACACCATCAAAGTGATCATATACAGTGTATTATTTATTTATTTTTTCATAGTTACTATTCTATAACTTCGGTTGTTTATCTGCTGAATGTGTGTCTTCCCGTCAGAGGTCGCGTTAACCGAATATCTTCCGTCTATGACAGATTTTTTTTAACAATGACGGACAAATCTGAAAGTAGTCCGTCCTTTTGACAGATTAGAACAAACTCGGAACAGCGCCAAAGTTTCCCCGCAGCGAGGCTCCGGTGTTATGCCGTGTTATGCCGTGTTATGCATGCCCTCCAAAAAGGAAATCATACCGTTTCCAAACCTAACTGTGCCGTACAGATCATTGAAATGTCTGTGAGTTTTGGCTTTACGCTGTGCACGCTCCCGCGAGGTGCAGCAGCCATGCATAACACGGCACATGTGAACTGTCCCCCCCCCCCCCCCCGTTGACAGTTCACGAGCATGCTTCCCCCCCCCCCCCCCCCCCCTCGTCAGAGTTGTGTAAAGGCTGACGGGTAATTCTGGATTTTGACAGAAGTTCTACGATCCTGTTGACGGGCAGTGAAAAAGTCTAGCGCAACCTCTGCTTCCCGTATACTTTATATTCCGATGAAATATATATCTATCTAATATTCTCTGAAAAGTGCGCTTTTCTTTGAGGTTAATATAAATAGTAAAAAAGTATAGACCTAAACAGCTTAAAAGTGTAAAGTGGCACATTATAGCAATATATCTGGTGACATCCTTTGGGACTTAGATTGTTTCATCCCATGTTCTTAAAGGCTCCACTTATTGTTGTCAGCGAGAGTCAAAATGTATTTGATTGTGTATCTTTTACCTCCAGTTTGCTCATTGCCTCAAAGCTCTAAATGAAAATAGGTCTAGAAAACTAAACATAGGACAGAATATTCCTCCAGCTTACTGCGATACGTCTGCTTTGCATCATGTGGATCCTGCTGGTGTAAATGCATATATCTTTGGTGTCTAGATACAACCATTAGTGTTTCCTAGAACACCCAGCAGAGACGTCTACAACCGTCATTAAAACATTCACACACGCCCTAAAAAGTTCTTAAGGGAGCAACTACTGAAACATCAAAAGTCTTTTATAGTATCATTAAAACTCAAATTAGAATAGTAAAAGATCCCATTAAGAGAAAGGCCAGAAAGTAGCAATGCTTCCCGTGTCATTACTAACGTCTGACTAAAGTTTCACACAAAAGAGTGACGAATGCTTTATTCTTTTCTGGTGGCAATCAAAATGTTTTTGTTTGTTTGTGCGAACACCTGCTGACAGCCTTGACAAACAATGTCATGTTTTAAAGGAAATAAATGATGTTGAGAAAGGCAATGAATGAAGGCTGAAGTGGGATCTGCTGACACACACACACACACACACACACACACACAGGTTTGTTGTTTACTTGTTCTACAGATTGTTCCAGATGTACAAAGCAAAGAGTAGTCTTCGCACATTCAAAAGATCACTGAACAAACACGAAAAGGGTATGTATTATTTTTGTCTAATTCTTTATAGGTGTTCTCATAACCTTCGTGTAATTAGGGATGCTCCGATCGACAATTTTGGGGCCGATCGCCGGAATCAGTATCAGGATTTCTGCTTCACACACGTTGCATACCGCTATTTTACGGTCTTTTTCGAACGCCTTAAAATACTGCCAGACTGGTGAAGCCGCTTGTTTTGCCGCGCATAGAGAAAAGTGTCGCGTATTTGACGTCATGTGATTGGCTCTCCTGATCGGCCTTTATAGAGAGCACCGATCGATCGGCAGACAGTGAATATCGGCCGATAACGATCGGCGCATCCCTAGTGGTAATTAAGACTTCCTGTGCAATTGTCAAGGGCCTCTTTAAACCTACAATAATGTGGGCTGCCTACAATAACAGCTACAGATGGACAGGTTCATCTAGAGCAAGAAAATAGGTAAAGAGGAGGGAGAAAGAAAAAGGCACTTAGATTATGTGGAGAGCATTCAAGGGAAGGATGGTTCCACTTACACAGCTGCCATTAAACAGCCCACTTACCCATGAACACAGACAGGGGCTGAAACACAGACACACACAGCTGTTGTGGTGCTACTAGCCCACAGAACTGAAATATACAGCTAACAGCGGGCACAGAGGATTGTGGGAAATAATCGCTCAGGAAACTGAATATGAGGAAGGAGGAAGACAGTGATAGAGATAAATGCGAAGGAAGAGAAAAATGTGTGTAAAGTGTTCAGTTCCGCTTTTCAACCCACGAGTACAGTTGACAATACATGTACTCATATATAAATTCACCACAGTGTTAGAGTGTTAGAGCCACGGCTGTCTTCGAGGGCGTCAAACGGGCCTGAACTGTGTATCTGTCTGAGAGGAAGCATGAAGGCAACAGTGACTCGCCTCAGAATTAGTTTAAAAGTACCAAAGCCTCCGATAAATAAATGTGAGCAAATGCTATTGAGCAAAGTATTGTAACTGGTTGTTTATACAGCTGGACAATATAGCTGAATTTCATACCTCAATAGTAAAGAGAATATTTTCAGATATACAGCAAATGTCATTGACTGTAAAAATATGTATCAAAAAACGTAACTGTCTATCTGCAACTGTTTTTCACTGTTAAGCATCAGTTGAGACAGAACTCTTTCAAAACTGACTTTGTGTTAGATTTGAATTACATGTATATCATATATCAACCCATTATATCAAAGTCTCACTCCAGCCAGGTACCCAAAGTTGGCAACCCTGGATAAAGACAGAAAAAACGTCTGTGTATATATATATATATATATATATTTGTATTATATTTATAATAACACTATCAGAATGAAATCACATGTACATTATTTAAGCTTTTAAATGTTTTGTTGTGCCTGCTGTGTCACTGTTGACAGAACTTGAGAAATAAGGGGAAAAAGCCTTTGGATACACCTGTTATTTGTTCATAAAATGTGTACATAGGTTCATGCTACCTAAATCAAACTTTCACATTATCATAGTGACATCCCATGTATATATTTCCAGCTTTCAAATGGTTTCGTTGTGTATGTTTGTGTTACCTATATGAAAAATAATATCATTTTCAAAATCTGTTTTTACGTTTTTTTGTGATTTTGGGTCCAAAATGTTCATATAGTATCTCAAAATGACAGAAATAACTATCAGGTTATATAGGTGAGGTTGTCCTTAAAAGAAAGATACCAAACATTGACATGCCAAACATTTCTTAATGGGGTTTAGTAAGACAAATCAAAAGTATGCGAAAACGGCCAAATTAGCCCTGGACTCCAAAGGGTTAAAGAAGATTTTGTAAAAAGAATATAAACGTAAACAATAATACTAAATCATTACGCTGCTCAAGTATACCATCATGAAAATCTTTACACGTGTCAGTGACATTGATCCCTAACAACACTGAAAAATAATCCACACAATTAGGGTTAGGTTGAAAAAAAGTTGACCTTACAAAATGTAATGACTATTTGTTTATGATAGGTGTTGGTGGAAATTAAAACTGCTAATTTGCAAGTGAGAGGATATTTATAAAATTAGGAAATTAAACACAATGCACTGCAATTTTCTTTGCAGGACAAACCCCCTCCAGTGCCGACACGAAGCCCTTTCCAAAACATCCACACATACACACGCATGTTGAGTCTAAGTGTTCCAGAGGGAGCGCTAGTACACAGCCTTGAAGGCAGAGGCAGAAATAAGGAGGATAGGGAATGGGCTCTGTCTCTAGGACCAGACAGCC